GCGTGCGCCGTTACTTCGAACGGGATCACGGTGCTGAAGACTTCGTTCACGGCCACGAAGCCTCCGGCAAGGAAGCGTGCCGCGGCGTAAAGGTAATAGGTGTTCGCCAGAAAATTGCAGACCGTGGTGGTCGACAACGCTGCAGCGGACGCCAAGAGACACCTCCATCGACTTAGCGAGTCCGCGTATATTCCAGATATAACGAGAATCAGGACGGCGCCCGCATATTGCAGGGCTACGACAGCGATCCTTAATAGGCGTCGATGACAGACCAAGTTCCAAGGGGTCACCGCTGTAGAATCGGCCACTGAGTCATCGTACTCCCATTCTTGGCAGAACTTCTCTCGCGTGTCGTTGGCGGCTTCTGGGCCAGTGTTCAGGCAGTCATTATACCACCAGTCCAGCTGTTCTCGCGTGCCGCTGTCCACCCGTTGCCTGTTTGGAAGGTTGAGGTCAACCGGAGGCATGCAGCGCTCGTAGACACGGCATTGGCTAAGCCTTCCGTCGGCTTCTAGCGGTAAGGCTATGTTCTTCCATTCCGCTAGAGAAATGTTTAGGCCCCTGGGCCGCTTGCACCAATGGTCCACGTCACCGAACACGTGAGTTGCAATAGAAGTTTGGCAGATGACCGAAAAAGACGCGAGAATAAGAAGAATGAACAGGCGCTTCTGGAAGGTACCGTAACCGAAGCCATCCTGGCAGTCGAAGGACTCACTCGTACGCAGATCATAGCGAGCCAGGAGCTTCGGAAAGAACAGGTCCATCTTCTAGCTCCAGGGTCGTTGACTGAAGAGTGCGTGGCCTGGAACGATCGTTCGAGAAGACACCGAGTAGGACTTAGCCTTAGCGAAGCAGTTTCGTCAAGTCGAATATGCAGTGCACATCCCCACTGGTCGTTGTTGTTGTTGCTCACCTATTGTTAGTGGCGCATACCCACTATGGAGGATTGGCCAAGAATCAAGTGGTTTTAAAAAATTACTGTTCAGATTTGAAATAATGGAGGTACAACAGAAAGATTACCGATAGCCTATAGGAAAGTGTGGTGCTTAATGTGATGCATACAAATATTTACATAAACGAATTTATTCACTGGTCGAAGCAGCTAAGGCTTCTTCTTGTTCATCTTCTCTTGTGAGTCATACCCACTGTGGAGCTACTTGGTTGGCTGCATAGTTGATTTTAGGAAACTCTTTGGTTGCTTGGATTATCGTGCTGTGGCTGAACCCACTAAAGTGAATCGACCATGATAATAATGATGATGAAGGTGATGATGATGATGATGATGATGATGATGGTGGTGGTTGTGGTGGTTGTGATGACCTTGTATTAATAGCGCTCACCAATGGGGATGGGCGAAGAACCGGGCGGCGGGATGAACCACGCAGTAGTAAGGTGCAAAAAACAAAAAAGAAAATCAGTATAAACGAGGAAAGAATATGATGTTGGTCTAACACGTGATGCCATTTGCAGGGATTGCAAATTTATGCAACCTATTTAGCGCATGTCAGTTGATGCTGTGTTTAAAGAAATATTCGTAAAAGAACTTAAGAGATGTGTTAAATCTTACTCATCTATTCGAAATTGTTGGTGTCAGACTAATACAGCTGTCTGGTCTGCTTGTGCTCTGACACAATAGCTGTTGTATTTGTTTGCTATGTTACCTAATATTTCCTTTGGGTTTTCGTTTTCTTTTTCAATAGGCCTTCTACTGGTTGCTAATAAATGTTAAGATGCGGAGTCTTGGTCAGTCCTCTATATTGAGTATGTGCGATACCGCCGAAAAAAACATGTGTGATAATCAAGGCGGAGCGAATTAATCACATTGGATTTCACGAAGCTCTACAGAAAGAGGACGATGCAATCGAAGCAGCATGCTGGATTAGTTAGTAACTTGGTAATGCACTACCTCGGATGATTGCGCTACAAAATTGACACGCAGATCAGAGAAGACACACAGAGCTTCGGTGTGTATTCTGTGTTGTCCTTGTCTTTTTTGGTGTGCAATTCGCCTGAATTGACAAGTGTCAGTCATTGTAGAGAAACACAAGGAAGATACAGTGTTAAAAATTTAATACGGATCGGCAGGTTTAGTGACTGTAACGTTGAGAAATAGAAGTATTCACGTTCGATAGCCGATTAAGGTATACTCAAATCAGGAATTCTATAAACGAAAACAACTGTCAAGTCCATTGCATACTGTTTCGTTGATGCTACTTATACAATATGCGTGACGCTAATCAAAGAATGCTGTTCTTTCTTGAACCTTATACTTCAAACACAGCAATTATGGCCGATTATGAATACCAAACGTTGCAGTTAAGATATTTAACGCGACAGCCATAAAGTGATCCTTTCGCACAAATTCCGGCATCGGCGTCGGTGTTAATGTCATCGTTGGCGTGGGTGTTGTTGGTTGTGAGCGAAAAATCATCTTGTCCGTGACTGAAAGATGCAGATAAAATAACAAATAGAAATTACTAGGTGCGAGTGAGGATTTAACCGAGCCCATTTGCATGGAAAGCAGGTGTTCTGCTAAACCGCCACGCACCAATGAAAAAAAAAAGTTCATGCTCTACAAACACACGCGCACTGTATACAGGCTTCCCAGTACAACATGTAATATCGCAGTAATATTGCCCGCTACAAGCGTACATTGTTATCGGGCGTCAGAACTTGTGATTATTCTAACTACCACGTCGTTTAAAGACGGTCACTCATTACAAAAGGCACAAAAGTTACTGCGCAGATGCATAGCAAGTTCGAAAACGCTTCACGCGCGCATGCTTGCTCGTGGTTTAAAGCAGGCTACACATTACAAACAATGCAGCCGTACGCGAAAAGCTTCACTGACACAAGCCATTTCCAAGTTTATCAATTACATTGTATAGTATTTACCATTTAAACTTCTCGAGTAACACCACACAGTAAACATTATACTCTATAAGTGGTTGAATTACACACTAGGGACAGGACATGGCTATCGCATTCAACTCTTAAAGGCGAAGCTTATGGTTCCCACCAAGTTTAATTTGCAAAAATGAACGATTCGTAAGAGCGTTTTTTGAAATGTTGTAAAAAATGACAGATTATTTGGTGCTGCCAAATCTGAAACGCCATTCCAGGGCACTCCGTACCCTCATGGTTGAAATCGTCCAGGCTTCACTTCAATCACACGGGCACATGAACTTTCTGCAATCAGTTTTATACGGGCAATATTCAAGCAAATTTCCATTGAAAATACCTCCGTAACCTTTGTCTAAAGCTGAGCAAACAGGAGTTGACGTTTTCAAAAAACAAAATCCCTCCAAAGCAAATCCGAAGCCTGCACTTCTCATCATTCTCATGTTCGTTCATGCACATGGTGGTTGAAGCGCCGACAATGAAACTCCTCACGGGCACTATAGCGCCAAATTCACTTCTATGTATCATAGTACAAACCTATATGATACAAAGTTACTGAAGGAAAAGCAAAATACATTCGTATAGTCATTTACAACCTAAGAGTAAGTACAAGCTGTGCAAGCAAAAATCTATATAAGAGAGTCGTGCCAACTGGTTTCCATCCAAACCACAACTACTTCTTCCGTACTAACATAAATACTACGTACATGGAATACGACAAATCTTGCGTTCGCGCATAGTCTATAAGCTTTGACTATGCAGTGCTGTCAGAATATTTGCTGAAATTTCACGGGACGTTCAAGTTTTCGACTTGAAACCACCAACACGAACGTTTGTCTGCATGAGGACACCAGCTATATCAAATATGCGAAAGGCGCTTGGTGTTGTTAGGAGTAAGGCTCGAGGGCATCCCACCACTGCGACCAGTTTGCTAGAACTGGGGGTCTGGCGGCATACCACCTGTGCTGCAGGTCCTTGCGGCTTGGTCCCGGTGGGTCTCGTCGTAGATAGCTGGCCGCCGCCACCGGACCCGTATTTAGCCCAACTTGCAGGAAGGAAGGCGCATTCTTCGATGACATTTACATGGGTTTATTTTACCTTATTTACAAGCGAGCGTTTCTCGCCTCATGACGAACATCTAGACGAAGATGTGGTCGTACATCGTGACGATCTCGTCGAAAGCTCTACATCGAGCAGGCATCAGCATCAAAAGCACTCTCTCGAACAGCACTGCATTGCATAGGCACCGAAGAAGCCCGCGAGGGTTGATTTTAAACAGTCCCGTTTGCCCAGATCCTCGGAAGAGGGGAAAGGGCACCGAAATACACTGACCTATCCCAAGACGTATAAAACTTTTTGACGGCCGGGTCCCCCCGCACCTGCCCACGTCAGGGTCTTTGACTGGGGGCGGAGTCACCACACTGTCGCCCCTGGGTCCCCCACGGGTCCACCACGGGTTCCCCTTGAGTACACTGTCGCCGTGGTGATAGGTCCAACGCTTACGACAGCATACATCAGAAGAACCACCGCAAACAAGCTCAAAAGAGGTCCGAACTGCTCGCTCAATTAGCGGGGTGATTTGCGCCGCCGCGATTGTCTCTCCCAAGGAAGCTCCTGCACTTGTCGTGGTCGCTCGATGGCACGGCGCCTCGCTTGGACAATACGTGGCGGACATAGGCAGCCAGCTGTTCGGCTACTTGTTTGAGGACCAAAATAACGCTGCTCATCCGTAAGCTCAGGCGCCGTACCTAACAGCGTCAAGAAAATTAGCAAGCATAATCGAATGGAACACTTTTGCAATTTCTTTCTCACCTGGTTGGACATTGACCGCTGTGTGTAGACCTTTTGCATTCTTCGGTTGTAACATACTACAAGTACTTTGTTCAAACTATGCAGCGCAGATGGAGGCTACGCTGTAAAGGCAACTAACAAAGAAGCAAAGGACGCGTTTCATTACGTTTTGTTTTAAATGCAATCATTGTAATAAAAACTATACAAACTATCAGGCCCCACGACAACATATCACCTATTTTCCGATATCAATATCTATGTACTGTTCACTTTGAAGAGCAATATGGGTAAATTCAAGCCCCAAAGGACTAGCCAATGTCCGCAGCTGCTTGTGTTATGGGCATGGAACCACCTCTAGGTAATTCAGGCTTCTGGCTAAACTTGTAGCCTTGTAGTTTGGCCTTAGCAGAGGAATCTGAGTTGCTGGAACGACTCTTTCGACTCTTGCGGGTGTCGCTGCTTCCAGTAGATGACTTGAGAGAAACGTTCGTATTGCTGGCAACACTCTGGCGACTCTTTCGGAGGGCATCAGTGCTTCCGGATTTGGCCATATGATCCGTCGGTCGCTCGAGCGTACGTCTCATGTGTTTGATGTAGTTTCTTGCGTAACTCAAACCGATATTGGCCTCCTTAGCCTGCTCCACCATGGTCGCTCGTGGAAGCACCCGTATCACCAGAAGAGACATGAATAGAAGCAACGCGGCAACGGCGAACGCCGCGTCTTCACGACCTTGAAGCTGCAGGGCAAAGGTCAGGGACGCGAACATGGCACCGAGGCGTCCAGCTCGCGAACATCCAACACACCGTACCACTCCTGACGGCCGAAGGAAAGAGCTCCATGACAAACACCAAGAAGTGAACGAGGATGACCAGTGACGCGCCTTTGGACAGCACGTTGAGAACGTTACTGATCGTTGCCACTCCAGCACCTACGGCGAAACTCAGCAAGCAATCGATGACGGCAATCGTCACGACGCACGTGTTCATCACCGTCACCAGGGTAATGTCGGTCACTAAGACGTGCATGACACCACACGTAAAAAGCGTGGCTGCGACTACGCCATACGGCATCCAAGCCTCGTGGGATGACGCCGTCGCGAACACAGCCACGTAATACGAGAACGTCATTGAGAAAAAGGTGAAAAACATGGCAAGCGCTCGCCTACGCAAGGAGTTCGAGTCCAATATCTCTTGATCGCAAGCCTCGGTACAGCACGTCCTCGCCTTGACCTGTTCTCTGAGCTTGTCCATCAGAGCGGACGTGTTTGGGAGGGGGAAGTTGTTAGTTTCGGCAGCCTGCATCATCACGGTCTCGGCCTCCCGCATTCGTCCTTTCGCAACGAGCCAACGAGGTGATTCAGGTGCGCTGAGTGACACGGGGAGAAGCAGGGCCGTAGGCGCGAGAAAGATGAGCTGTTTGAGCGACCAGAACATGGGCACCCGTCTAATTAGGATTTCCCACACTTCGGCCGGCAGGACACCCACCAAGTGCCAGAGGATGACTTGCTGTGGTCTGTGAGCGTGGGTCGTCACTTCGAACGGGATAATGACGCTGAAGACTTCGTTTACGGCGGTAAAGCCTCCGGCCAGAAAACGCGCAATAGCGTAAACATAGTAAGTATTTGCCAGAAAAGTGCAGATCGTGATGGCCAATAGCGCTGCAGCGGATGCCACGAGACAAGTCCTTCGACTTAGCGAGTCCGCGTATATTCCAGATGTAACGACAAATACAACGGCACCAGCATACTGCAGCGCTACGACCGCGATTCTTCTTGGGCGTCGATGGCACACCATGTCCCAAGTGCTTACCGCCGTAAAACTGGCCGCCGAGTCATCGTACTCCCATTCATCACAGTGTATCTCTTGTGTGTCGTTGGCTGTTTCCGAGACACCGTTCAGGCATTCGTTGTACCACCCGTATTCGTACGTACTGCCTGTACTTGCATGCGGCTGTGCTAGCACGTCGCTGTCCATCCGTTCCCGGTTCGGAAGGCTGAAGTCGACGGGTGGCATGCAGCGCTGGTAGACGCGGCATTGACTATGCCTTCCGTCGGCTTCAAGTGGTATGGCAATATTCTTCCATTCGGTTGCAGAGATGTTGAAGCCTCGGGGCCGCTTGCACCAGTGGTCCACGTCACCGAACACGATGGTAACGATGGAAGTTTGGCATAAGACCGACACAGCAGAGAGAATAAGAAGAAAGAACAGGCGCTTCTGGAAGGCACCGTAGCCGAAGGCTTCCTGGCAGTCGAAGGACTCACTCGTCCGCAGGTCATAACGAGCGAGGCGTTGCGGAAAGAACAGGTCCATCTACTGGCCCTTGGGATGTTGACAGAGGGTGCGCGGCCTGCAACAATTGTAGATGTAGATTTAAATCCTCAATTCTTGGCCCACACCCACCCGGAACGGTTAGGCAAAGACAGGGAGTAGGACTTCTTCTTCTCCTTCTCTTATGACTCATACCCAATGCAGGAGATTGGCTGTAGTGATAGGTGAACGTTTTCAGTATTTTCTTTTGTATATAATTAATATAGAAGCTAATAATAAGTACGTACTATAATGAATTTAGGTACAAAATATTATTGATGAGATATTTCAAAGATAAAGAAGTTATGTAGATATTGTTTGAGACAGATTGATAAATTCCTCAATAGCGAAGAAAAATTTGCTGTGACTGTAGCCCAGAGTAGAGGCGCCGAAAGAAAGAACACTTGATTCTGAAATTTCTTGACCCAGATTTCGAGGAGGTAGGAATATTAATCTTTTCCTCAATGACGTGAACCGGTGACAAGATAGGAAGTATGGTTTCGTCCTCATTACAGAAGAGAAACTGAGGGGAAATCGTTCTACCTGCTCTATGCAGGTAAAAACTGAGGAAGCTAACGCAGCAGTGAAATTTGGTTGTAGCAACTTCTGTTATTCACGACCTCGATAGATCACTGCACCAGAAAACTAAAAGATGCTTATATTCTGAATAAGCTGTCAAGGCAAGGTGTGATAAGCTTTTTCTGATCGTTAGTGTGCGGTATCTTGCTATTGTGATGTATGCTGTGAGTCTTATCGATAGTCCTAACGAAGCAATAGTGGGCGACTTCTTTAGTTGGATTCTCGTGCTGTGAGTGAACCCACTACGGTGGATGGACCATGAATGGCGCTGGTGTAAGGTGCTAAAACAAAAGGAATAAAGGTACTTCATAACATAGAGTTTCCTAAATGTACATATAACTTTTAGGAAACTTCATGTTTCATAAGCCGGGAAATATGGATGTGGTTCAACATGCCGGTTGTAAGGTTCGTAATTTTATTCGAGTTACTATACGCATTCTATTTAGTCTCTAAATTGTCAAATATTCATGAGGAAATAAAAAAAAAGCGGTGATGTTTGACATATCTTTTTTCATATTACTTTGCTTATACTAACACAGCTGTCTTGTCTGCTATCATAATCTCATAATTTTAGTGTGTCTTTTATATATTACCTAACATCAACACGAAAGTATTTTATACCAAGGTCCTCCGAGATTTCAGTGACCTACTTCCGTCACAAAAATGACGTCCAAAAATAACTTTCACTAGGCAAAGTTCGATCAATGGGAGTCAAACCCACGACTTCTCTGTCGGCGACCACAGCTGCCTGGCACGCTATCCACTGCGCCACGATTACATATTTTGTAAGACATGAAAACTCGCCTACCACTGCCCTCTCACAGTACACATCAAGTGTAATAATAAGTTAAGACGGTGGAATCCCCGAATACTACCTTCAACATGTCGTTTCTACGCGTCCGTCCCATTCTATGCGTATGGTTTCTAATATAAGAGAAGTGCAATTCTGTCAACGCCTTGAAACACTGCCAACTGGCAACCTTATACCCCTGTCACACGGGCACTTAAAAGTCTTTTAAGTAAGCGGTCTTTTTCCGAAAAGGAGTTCCTGACAGCAGACACACGGCACAGAGCGAACTCATTTTCAGAAGCGGTCTTTTTCGTAAACGGCGTTCGTCGATCTCTTTTACGGCTCTGAATGAGTAGCCTCGAAACCAGTGGGCGCCAGCAATTTTCGAGTGGTGGGAAAAAAAGAGCGAATGCTTATTTTTCTGTCATCAAAACTCTTTGTAAAAAGAAATTTCATATCCTGCAGAAGATGTAATGAACTCTTTTAATGGTTATTTCCTTTTCTAGTCTCGTAAGCAGCTACAACGCGTCGTTAATATCACGTGGTGACGCTCGGTTTTGCGCTGCTTTATCCTCTCCTTGGCGGCTTTTGCAGCGTCTGCCTCACTTTCCAGAGCGAGAAGGCAGGCCGTGAGGCTTGCGATCCTCGCTTTTTCTCCCGTACGGTCGCCCATAACGTGTCAAGAGCAGTCGAGAGCAGCAAAAAACAAATACGGTAAATAAAAGCACAGTGGTGCCAGACGGACTTGTGCACGTCGCTAGTTATGGGAATGCTTCCTTATCTAGTGCAAAAAACATTCACATTGGTGTTTCTTCATCTCTTATTTTTAAATTTATTTGAAGAAACGAGCAGTGCAACAAGTACATCGTGATACATCGTTTAATTTTCATTGCTTCTTTTTTAACTGCTAGCGCCACGCTTTCGCTAGCGTCTTCGAACGAAAACACTAAAAGGAGATCGTTGCTGCCGTGTGTCTGCGCCGCAAACACCTCTTTGTTAAAAGTCTTTCAACTTCGTAAAAGACCGCTTACTTAAAAGACTTTTAGCGCGCCCGTGTGACACAGGTATTACCCAAAGAGTCGGCGTGGCTCATGGCATTCATTAGAATTTACCCAGCGTAGAGCAAAGTCCTACGTATCAAGTACCGCAAGGAGGCACAATTCGCTTTGTTGACCTTTGCCTGTCTTGTTCGTTTGAACATACTTGCTCGTGTTATGAACCGCGGTCGCAAAAGCCTTTCTTGCAGCAGTACATTCAAAGCTGATAAATCGAGAGAATGCCAGGCTGTTTTTTTTAGAAATGCCCCGATGAATCATGCCATCGCACTATGACCGCTATAGTTTTACAGGACAAAGCAAGCGATTATCTTTGGCAGGCTATTCAGTGTTAGTGCAGGTGTCAGTATAGCTGAGTGTCTGTTGCCTATAGTTCATGTATGCGGGACGGCCGCAGAACAGTGAGCCCGGTGCTGGGAAAACCACTGTGATAGCGTATGTACATCGAATTTCACACCATTTGGAAAACATGGCTCTGAGAGGAAATGTTCGTGTTGTGTTGTCTGCTCCAAAAAAAAAAACTAAGTCTATTATGTCTACTATTTAGTCTATTATGTAAGCTTACAAACCCTAAGAACGAGGTGCAACCCACATGTGGAAAAAAGCATGAGGCTAAGTTTGTTCAATGTTGCCTAGCTGTCGTCTACATGTTCCCTCTGTCGTGTGATGCAGTTTACATATGAACACTGGTAGGTTTGTTAATGACCGCTTGCGCGAGTACTGTTAAAATGTAAAAAACAAGATTTCTTCTAGTTATTTCCTGGCTATGCATTGTAAGACGTGTGCATTCACTTAATTTGTTTTTTATCTGAGTGTCATCTTGGGCCGCAGTCGTAACCAATTGACACGAGAAATTAGTGAAGCGAAGGTTATCGCAAAAATTTGCGAAGCTGTGTGTGAGTACGTTATCCGTAGCCTTCTCTGAGAAAGAGCTCAATTTTCTGGGCCGCGCGCTGTGAAGTGTTGATATAGGATTGTTAATTTTATATCAGTTTAAATCTAGAATTTTCGGTAACGTGTGCTGCGCCACATGTTTATGGCTTTTTTCATGTGTGCGGCGTCAGGTGGGCAGCAAGGTGAGCTATATAATGTGCTGTAGCGTCACGCAATGAACAAAAGTTGGCAGTAGTTAGCACTCATACTGTCGTCTGTTATTTTCCCTTCTCGACCATATAGCACCTTTTCTTCGTGCTCAAACTGAGCTGCTCTAAACCAATACAATTTTTCACAGATATCGCCGCTTCAATAAAGAAGTTTCTTGTGTTCATTCGCAATCAAGAATGTTTTATTCATTTCAAAAAAAAATATTTAAAAATTTGTATAGTACTCGCTTTGCACGTGGGCCTGAACCACTATCAGATTAGCGTCATAATATGATTTTCAGAAGAACACAGCAATAATGATTATGATGATGCCTTAACTATGGCTCATACCCACTTACACGTCCTTCTTTCTGCACTGCACCCGATAGGACAACAAGGCTTGTCATAGCTTGTGATTAAAACTATATATAACCTCTTTTTTGCAACAATCTTCTGAAAAACGAAAACATCATACTTCTATATTCGTGCTGAAACGCACATGTTGGAAGGGTCTGCGAAACCGAAACTGAAATAGCCCGCAAGCGGATTACTTGGCGTAGCAACACATGTACACTTCGCCCACGTATATATTTGGCTGAGCTGCTACCTAAAGCTGTCCCGAGCATTATAGCTTTTCGTAGCACAAACAGAGGTTCTCGATGGCTTCCTGTTTTGTGCGCCAGCGCAGCTATTAGCGTTGGCGGGGAACGGAAGCCTTATCGAGTAGCCCGTTCAAATTCAACAGTTCCTTCCTGTGTCTGGCTTGGTTTAGTTTGGGAGAGCTTTATTCCGAAAGTCAGAAGGTGTGTTCCCTAGCACGCGGCGGGCCGCTCCCATGACGCGACAGTAAGTTACAAGCGTGGTAGCTTGGGCTAGTTGGTATGGCATGACGATAGTTATAGCGCGAGAACAAAACGACGACACAGAGACAAGAAGGAAAGTAAGGCCGAGACTGACCGCCGCATCCTGGGCCCTCTGAGACATCCCAAAGTTGCGATGCAATGACCAGATTCAACAGAGCGGATTCCCACTTGCTGGACGTTGCTGTATCAGTGACGCGTAACGAAAAGCACCTTCAGAGCATGCGGTGTAAGGTGGCTAAACCACCACATTTCGACAAGAGTTAGTTAAATAAACCTCAGGATAAAGCTTGGGAGAAATGCAAGGTTAGGGTACGTTTCCGCTTGAAGTAACCGCAATGTCAGCACCCTCGCTCTGTTTAGCTTCCTATGTGCAGGTGGAAAGCTTCTCCTTTATATACTTATAACTAAATGCTGGATAACTTCAATGTATGCGGTTGGCGGACCCCTGTTTACCAAATCTCCAGTACAACCCAAAGGTCCTCCCTGGCCGCGGACAACTAACCATCGTGCCCTGGAGTGGGCCAACCCCCGTGTCTGGCAAAATATTTCAAATACACTTTTTTTAAGCTACACCCTACATTACAAAAGTTAGTCCTTAACTCTAAGCGCCTTCCTTTTACTTGAAAAGTGGTAAAGAAGTTTTCTGTTACTTTAGCAGAAGTTAAGAAAAGTTTTCTCCTTCGGGGTTAGGGAGTGATCATTGGAGTGGCCGTAAGTTTTTGGGTAGCAGTACGTGCTCCTGCTGCAGTCTGCGTAAGACGCCTACACGAGGCAGAAGACGCAGAGGGTTTGGTCCCCACACACACATCTAATAGCGTCGGGTTCCTCAACCTCGACAGCTGCGGAGCATTGATCAAACACAAAGGCGTAACAACTTCGAGCTTTCTTAGTTCATACTTGTGCTGTGTATACCTGTGTGTTCTTTTCCAGCATCTATATTTACGTGTTTTGAGCGGCACACTCGAACTATCGAGTTGAACGTCGTTCTATACGAGTGACGTTCCAACTTTTCGCTAACGCATTCATTGCCTCACCTTTGCGGCGAAACTGCCTTTTCTGGCTGGAACATTCAGTGTTGTCGGTGGAGCTCGGTTATCTTTTGGCTGTAACTTGCTGTAAGCGTTTCGTTCGGTATAAGAAACGCACAAGTAGGAGACAACTGTGTAAAATAAGCATACGACGTGTTCGATACGAGTTTAGTACAAATAAAATTATTGCGAAAACGAAAATAAATGTTTGGCCCCACGAAAACATATAACCGAATTTTTGAGATCATTATGCAATGTTCACTTCGAAGCGCGATATACGGACCAATCGAGCCCCAAGAACTAGCCAATATCCGCGACTGCTTGTGTCCCCGACATCGGAACACTTTTAGGTAACCCAAGCTTTTGGCGAGACTTGCGGCCGTGTCGCCTGGTAGAAGACTTGATGGAAGGATCCATGGCGAGACCTTTCCGACTTTTCCCAGACTCAGAGCTTGAAGTAGATGCCTTAGAAGAAACAGTCGCATTGTTGGCGAGAGTCTGTATATTCTTCCGGACATCAGTGCTTCCTGATTTAGTCTTTTGATTGGTCGGTCGCTCGAGCGTACGTCTCAGGTGTTTGATGGTGTTGCTTGCGGAACACGAGCCCGTATTGGCCTCTTTAGCCTGCTCGACCATGGTCGCTCGTGGAAGAACCCGCATCACCAGTAGAGACACGAACAGGAGCAACGCAGCGACCGCGAACGCCACGTCTTCACGACCTTCATGCTGCAGGACAAAGATCGTGGACGCGAACACGGCGCCGACGCGTCCGCTAGCGAACACCCAGCACAACGTGCTGCTCCTCACGGCCGACGGAAAGAGCTCCATGACGAACATTAGGATGTGAATGAGCATGGACACTGACACGCCCCTTGACATCACGTTCAGAATGTTCCTTATCGTGGCCAGTCCAGCACCAGTGGCGGCACTCAGCAGGCAATCGAAGACCGCAATCATCGTGAACCACGTTTTCATCACCGTTACCAGGGCGATGCCAGTAACGAGGTGATTCAGGTGCGGTGAACGACATAGGGAGGAGCAAGGCTGAAGGCGCTAGAAAGACGAGCTGTTTGAGCTGCCAGAACATGGGCATGCGTATCATTAGGATTTCCCACAGTTGGGCCAGAAAGACACCCACCAAATGCCAGAGGATGACTTGCTGCGGTCTGTGAGCGTGGGTCGTCACTTCAAACGGGATCACAATGCTGAAGATTTCGCTCACGGCGGTGAGACCTCCGGCCAGAAAGCGCGCTAGAGCGTAGACGTGGTAAGTGTTCGCCAGAACACTGCAGACAGTGGTGGCCACCAGCGCGGAAGCGGATGCCACGAGGCAGCTCTTCCGACTTAGCGAGTCCGCGTACATTCCAGATGTAAGGACAATTATAACGGCGCCAGCATACTGCAGTGCTACGATGGTGGTCTTTATTAGGCGTTGATGGCACACCATGTTCCAAGTACTCACCGCCGTTGAGTCGGCCACTGAGTCGTCGTAGTCCCATTCCTCGCAGGGTACATCTCGTGTGTCGTTGGCAGCATTCAGACATTCGTTGTACAATTGGTCCAACTGTGCATGCATCACGCTGTCCATCCCGTTTGGAAAGTTGAGGTCAACCAGCGGCAGGCAACGCTCGTAGATGCGGCAGTGGCTAAGCCTTCCGTCGGCTTCTAGTGGTATGGCAATATTCTTCCATTCGGTTGCAGATATGTTGGAGCCTCTGGGCCGCCTGCACCAGTGGTCCACGTCACCGAAGACAATGGTTAAGATGGAAGTTTGGGAAATGAGCGAAAAAGCAGAGAGGATAAGAAGAATGAACAGGCGCTTCTGGAAGGGACCGTAGCCGAAGGCTTCCTGGCAGTCGAAGGACTCACTCGTCCGCAGGTCATAACGAGCGAGGCGTTGCGGAAAGAACAGGTCCATCTCCTGGCTCTAAGGTCATCAATATCAAGGTGTGCGTTCTGGAACGATCGTTTGAGCATACACTGAGTAGGACTTAGCCCTAACGAAGCACTCCAGGGCTACTTGGTTGGTGGATACTCGTGCCGCGATTGAACCCACTACTAGAAATGGACCATGAGTCCCGGGGCAGTAAGGTGCGAAAAAAAAAGAAAATTGGTATTTCATCAGAAAAGGAAGGGGGTTTGGGTTTCAGCTCGTCTGGGGTGTTCTTACTTTTATTTATTAAGATACTTTGTGAATATGGTACAATCTACCATAATTATGCAAAATTGTTTTGGTCAGAGTAATAGAGCTGCCTGGTCTATCAGGGCAATCACACAAACCCTGCAGTATTTCTATGTTATGATACCTAGCCTATCCCTTTATTTCGCCTTTTTTTGAAGAATAAACGTTTTTCTAGGAATCATTAAAATGTCAAGATGCGCACTTCTTGGTAAGCATTCACAGTGAGTATGTGCCATTAGTCCCGAAAACGAACACTGGCGTTGCTGCAGTCGTGCCGATGTGACGTCACGGCAAGGACACACTTCCTCCGCCACCACTTGTATCCTTTTTCTGCGCCCGGCACGTAACCGGATTTTAGCGATACGTTGGGGATTTCTTCAATTGCGGGACTTAAATTTCTCAAGATACAAAATGACATGTTTCATAACCAATCAAATTTATCGAGACTGCAAAAATTTCCATATTTTGGCTTAGGATAGGCAGACTTGCTTCCGAATGAAAGATCTACTGTGAAAATAATGTTTTCCTTGCGTACGCCAAGAAATAGGAAAATATGCTGAGTGGTGCTAACGTGATTACTACTTGGCATAGACTCCAGGATAGAGAACGCATGTGTGCTGAATTATCACAAATGAATTTAGGGTGCTTCCAATTCACTCAATACATTGCAATTTACTGTGCAAGTTATGCCTGCATCTGCGAATAGTCTAAATGATTTGACAGATTTGCGCTTTTTCCTACAGGAGACGTTAGATCAATCTCATTGTCGTAAGCACAAGCTTCACATATTCGGAAAATAAATCATATAGTACTGCCGCACACATAATGATTTCTGAAATGTTGGGTTACGTTAGTTTACTCGGATTATATGTTCATGTTTCTTCTCAACAGTCGCCGGGGATCGTGCAGTCGTATACCCTGATTTGCGAGAAATGCTGGGGTGATATACCACCACGTCACAAACAGTAATGTTCACTTCACATGGGAGCACCACTGCATGAACGATTCCAATACAAGCGCCAGAAAGTCGAAATGAATTCATCACATGGCACAGTCAGCGACGTGGCCCAAGCAGCTATTAAAGAAGCTTCGCCTCGATGAGGCGATGACCGCTCTCTTACGTCACTGTCACGTACAGGTAATCACCTGCAAGGAAAATTAATTTATGAGGTAGCTATTTAAACTGGTAGTTACGCGTGAGACAACACCGTTGCTACAATTTTCCCAGAGGCAGAATTTGAGAGTAATAAGAATTCTGCACATAACCTCAATAAATTCCGCGAAATTAAGCTCCAAAATTATTTTTAGAGAAACATGAAACTGAACAACGTGTTGAGTTAGCAAGTACACGAGAAAAACACACAAAACAGCAGCGCTCGCCCGAGCGCTTTCGAGATAGTTTGCAAGGCTCGATGATGCGCGTGATCGTGGGGATTGGCAGAAGAGATAAAGCAGTGCCCTCAGATACGTAGATTTCTCCATAAATAATAACCTTAGTGGAGGAAAAATCCCCATATTCTCTATAGGCATAGCCCATGAAAGGCTCAACCTAATAACGTAAATATTGTGTCAGTGCGTCTCGAAATCGCATGCTTATGTGCCAATGAGTTTGTTGTATCGAAGCGAAAGTGTGTTTTTGCTTTTCACGCCCGTCGGAACGCGGCTGCCATGGCCAGGAATGAAATCCCTCATCGGGAATCCCTCATCGGGAATCCCTCAGCAGCACAACACAGACCTTTTCACCCCTTTCACATTGCCTACGACCAAGCGCGCGATTCTACAGAAGCAAAAGTGAACATTTATTGATTTACCAGGAACATTGCCGACTCTGTTTTCCTCCTTCATCTGGGACTTGAGACGAGGAGAAAGCGAACGCAAACATCGGAACAGCGCACGAAGCGAGTGCATCACTGTGTAGGCGCGTGGCGGCGGGCATCGAGGAGTCCGTTCCGTGACGTCACCCAAGCCTCCCACAAGGAGACCTCACTCCAATTTCTCGGGGCCATTGAATGAAGAAATAAACAAAGAAAGAAACGGAAACAAACTAACCAAACAGACCAAACCAAATAAACCGGCAAACTTACATTCAAATACATACATACATACATACATACATACATACATACATACATACATACATACATACATACATACATACATACATACATACATACATACATACATACATACATACATGCATGCATGCATGCATGCATGCATGCATGCATACATACATACATACATACATACATACATACATACATACATACACACACACACACACACACACACACACACACACACACACACACACACACACACACACACACATACATACATACATACATACATACATACATACATACATACATACATACATACATACATACATACATACATACATACATACATACATACATACATACATACATACATACATACATACATACATACATACATACATACATACATACATACATACATACATACATACATTCATACATACATACATACATACATACATAGAAAACAACAACTATGTGTCATAACCAAGTCGTAGGAGATTGACCACAGTGGAGCGGTCACGAAGGCGCACTGACTGAACAAGTGGACAAATGCAATGACTGCAGCATCTTGGGCTAGTTACTAATTCATTACTTCACGTGATAACGCAACAAAACACTCGTATAACCGAGAAACCACAACGAGCCTGTGTGTGTCGTCTTTGTTGCACGAAGTGATGCACGGAGTGATGCACGGAGTGATGGGCTATTTGGTAGTGCACAATACCATAGCGCTAGACATAACGCTGTGTCTCGCTTTGATCTGTCGCCATCCGACTGCTTCTTTGCACATCTGTTTAGAATTCGTTGTTGTCCTTCTCTTTTTTGTTGTGCAATCGCCTGGAGTGACAAATTCAAATCATGGACCAGAAATTATCGTATGGTAAGAATAAGAAGACACCGTGATAAAAAAATAATAGTGATCAACAGGTTCTTCGTCACCTTTACCTTTGAAAAATGTTCTTGATCACTACGTTCGCTGACTCTGCTGCTGACCTGCAGGGGAGACGCTGCTCTCGTCGGAGCGAGTGGACGCGCGTCGTGTCGGCTCCGGTTTCAACGAATGTTTTGCAGTGGAAGTCACCTAGAAGCCCACAAGGCTTTGGTACCCGCGTATTCAGCTTCATCAGGAATCGCCCGGTACCAAGTTCCAGGTGGTGACTTGAATTTTGACACCTTTACCGACGCATTTTCGTGCACGCTGGCGAGAGAGATAGGCCTAACGCCTGCCAAGCCACCGGCAGCGCAGCTGCCGGAGACGCTGCTGCCTAGGCCGGCCTAACTCTGCGGGCACCAAGAAACGCCGGTCGGCGCGTTTGACGCGTCCGACTTTTTGAGAAGAAATGGAGGTCACTGTGGAGGGAGAACCCATTTCTCGTGAAGAATTCGAGGAAAGTACAGGATGGAGCACCGTAGGATCAAAAAAGTCGACCCGCGGGCAATCACTAGAACCCGGTGCGGATTCTAAACGAGAGAATAACAGCAGGAAACGTCGGGAGCAATGCCTGAGTCAAATAACAAGATTAAGCCGGATGCCTCCACTGCCCCGAGGTGACTACAAGATCATCATCCGACCTAAAGGTGGCCTTCGACTCACTGATCATGGAGCCGCTCGACTGGCGACTAGCATTTACCACGCCGCTGAAATTCCGAGAGACGCCCAAGATGAGGACGCAATATGCCCAAATTTTCAGCAAAATATCATCGTTGTGAGCACACCCATCGAGGCGCATGCTGATAGATACCAGAAAATCTCTCGCATTGTGGTCGGCAACAAGACGTACGATACCAGCGCATATGAAGCAGCACCAGACGGTACGTCAAAAGGCGTGATACGTGATATCCCGTTGGAAGATACTGCCCGAGATATTACAGATAATGTGATTACAACAAAGAACCCTACAGCCATCGCTGCAAAACGCCTCAGCAACACAACGACGGTGATCGTACTGTTCGCTGGTCTTCGCGTGCCAACATACGTTCGATACGGTGGGGCAATGTTGAAGTGCTCCTTTTACCGCAAACAGATAGAGACGTGTTACCAATGCGGTCGCCTGGGGCACCGCGCAGATGTATGCCCAAACCCGAAAGACCACGTGTGCCGTGGCTGTGGTACTACCAACCCCCAACAAGATCACCAATGCCAGCCCACTTGTCAACTATGCGGCGGCGACCACCAGACGGCCGAAAAGGCGTGCAGGGCACGTTACAAGACGCCGTACCTGGTGAAACGCCGGCGATGGGAGCGACAACAACAACAATATGAAGACTACCCGACGAAGCCAACGCCTGTCGACAACAGCCTCGAGCAGCGGGACACTACCCCTACCCGGAAGCACGGAAAGAAAGCCTGGTCGAGATCTCGGTGGCGGTCTCGGTGGCGGTCTCGGTGGCGGTGTCGGTCGCGGTCTCGCCCCCGGCCCCGCTCCCGGCCCCGCTCCCGGCCCCGCTCCCGGCGCCACTCCCGGTCGCAGTCAACATCTCGGAGCCGTACACCTAGACCTGGCGCAACCTTCAAGGTGGGCTGGGTAGACGTAGTCAAGGGGGCGCACTCGGGGTCTGAGGAGGCCGCTTCTCAAGGCAAACTTGATAAATTAGAGGCTGAAATAGCACAGCTAAAGCAGATGTTAGCACAATGTAACCAGAAAATGACAGCTTTAGGAGAGGAAAACA